TATAGGGCTCTGCAGTGACAGTTTGGAAAAGTGGGCAAGAAATTTTCTGTTCTTCATTACTTTGTCCAATAGAAGAAATTACAAAGGGTATAGATAGATGCAGTATTGTGAAAGGACTGAGTAGTTGGAACTCAGCTTTGTAGAGAGCCTGCAAAGGCAAGCATGTATGGGATGTGCGTATTTTTAATTTTCTCTTTCAGAATATAAACTTTTCTAATGAGCTTTGAGAAGCACTTACAAGGTGTCTGCACCCTGCCTGGAAAAAAGCTGTGGAAAATTAATTATCTAAAAGTTGATCTTCTAGTCTATCTAATTTGGTTGGAATTGGCCAAAAAATAGTACAAGCAGAATGCTTGTATCTGTATAAGTGATAAACATAAACTCTTTATGGTGGAGTTATTAAAGCATATTACTTTCTGATAGGAAAGGATAAGGTAGTTGATTTGAACTGATTTTTAAAATGAATTCTAGAGTTGATTAACAAAATCTGCTTGAATGTTCCTTGCCTTATGTTTTATCACCATGGAGGGAGGAAAAAGGATGTTTTTCTGGTTAATAGTAAAAGCCAAGGTATTATAACTTTTAAACATACCTTTTAGTGTCTTTTGCTCTAGATGGGGACTTTGATACACCTAAGAAAGAGTAAAGGCTTTTATTTAGATGCAGATTGAAGGGCTTGCCCTCCCCTCTTTTTTTTTTGTTTTTTCTTTAATTCATTCCAGAATTTGATCTTTTTTTTTTTTTTCTTTTCATATTGCCTGTGAATGTTGCAGATAGCAATTAAAAGCTAGCCTCTCCAAGTTTTCATTTCAAAATAGTGTATTAAAACAATTTATGACCTGGTTAATTGAGTGTGACTGGAGTGTTTGAAAAGAAAGATACATTTCCAGTCTGCTGCTGCTGCAACCAGACGCTATATCAAACAGATGGCTCACAGAGACAGGCAAGCTGTTGTTATTAAAGGTAAATGCAATCTTCTGTACTGCATTTATGAGATCTATGAGTTTTATCTGTAGCATTCTCAGGTAACTTCTGCCTGAAATAACTTTCCTTGGACTTCTGCAAACATTCCTATCTATGTAGTGGGTGCTATTTTCTCTGAAGTTTACTCTGGATTGGTTAATTGTGTTGCTTGGTCTTTCCTTCCTCTTCTGTCTTTTTGATTGTTGTCTTTTGCCTCTGTTTTATTTCTGATCAAGCAAGATAATCTTTCTGTATATTTGCTTCTCAAGAGGACAAAGATTAGTAGAAAACAAACATTTCATGACCAACTTTGGCTATACTCTCTTCCTCAATTCACTGACTCCAAAATAAAGTCATTAAAATATTTCTAAAAGGAGTTCTTAGGTATAGTATTTTGTAAAGGGATGGAATATTTTGGAATTCTAAAACTGGAGAGGCAGACAGGTAATAGGAAAACAAAACATCAGTTGGCTTTCCTTCCTCTGAGTGCACATGGAGCGGCACAGTAATATTAAATAAATTGTATGGTATTCAGGCCTAGATATTTGAAAAGATATTTTACTTCAAGTTCATTATTACTGTTTAACTCTTCAGCATTGAGCGCTTCTGCTTGCTTCCAGTGATTAAAAGGATAGAACTTAACAGGAATCTGTGAAGGGCAGATGCAATAGTTTGGTGGTGTCTGTGCATTGCTATCTTGTCAATCCTGACAGGAAATTAAAGATGCTTTGCAAAATATTCTCTTTAGATTAGTTGACCAATGAAGAGCTGAGGCATTCTGTAGGACTTGCTTCATCCTGCAGTACAGATGAAATTATTTTTGTCTTGTACATTACTGAAGGAATAGTGAGGATTGCCCTTCACCTCTCTGTGCTTTTTGCCTGGGAGGATCAATATACAAGGGTAAGAAATGTTCCACTGACCTCACTTAGCAGTAGTGTGAATCCTAATAGACTTTGCTCACTTCTTCAAACAGTGCATCTGAAGTCCAAATGAAGAAATATTTTGCTCCTCATGCAGTTCTGTAGCCTCTCACATGATCCTGTTTGTGATTACAGAAGTTTTCCTGAATAAAAGCATGCATTATTATCTTGATATGGTCTTCAGAATTGTCCTTTATATAAAGACTATGCTACCTACCACAAAATGCAGATGACTAATAAATTAGATCTAAGAAAATAATGATCTCTGTTTAAGGAACTCGGACATGATATTTCGTGGAACTCCATCAAATACTGAATGACGTTTATCGCACTCCTGTTCACTCTAGAAATTTTTAAGCATATTACTGGAGGGGGAAAGATGACCCTTTCCTTCCCTGCAGTCTGCCCCAGATCTGCAGATACCACACAGTGCTTTGTCTGCTTTCTTAGTACATGGTTCAAGAAATGGAATAGGGTGTTTCTAAACCTAGTCCTGGGTTGGTTCAGTGCAACCATCAGTTTAGTGTCTGAGGTCTCTTCTCAGTAGATGAATAGTTAAACAGTGCAATACTCTACCTTACAGTCTACAGCTTGTAACAGCCCTGCTGACCCATCATGTGTTCTGGTGTGACCTTTGTATTTGGGCTTGTGCGCAGGGAGTGCTGGTCATGCAGTTCTTTGTGCCAGAATATTTCCCATAGGGATGGACGATATTTATGGTCTTGCAGAACAACTAGGAATTTGACTGACTTTCTGATTTCTATTTTCTTTGGGTCCTCAGGCCTGAAGTGACCTTCAGTTTGCAAATTTACCGGCATTTTGATTTTCTTTGTAGTTTATTACTTGAAAAGAATCTCAGAATCTCCCGGGTCTGTGCTGGTGAAAGATTGAAATATTGCTTTCTCTGAAGCTTCTTGACCCACAGGCCAGAGAGGAAACACACTGATAACAATACAGGATTTTGTGTCCTGTCTCTTGCTCCCATCACCTCAAAATCACCTGAATTGATCCATGTATGGAAGCTATTCTCACCACAATGGTGAGATTCAGCTGCTGCACAGTATTGTACTCTAGTTTTGCCTCTGCTGCTCACTGCTAGAGTGTGTCAGAAAAGTCAATGACTGATGTGATTAAAGCATATTTCTATATAGTTCACAATTGAATGAAATTTAGGTTAGTTAGTTGATAGAGAATTGCAAAGATATTGAGTGATGGGATAATGGCATGTAATTAATAAGTTTGGGGCACTCTTCCCAGCCATATGGACCTTAATGGGTAAGGTGATATGTACACTACACATAAAATTTTGTGGTATGCGTATGTTTTTGTTTGGTGGTGGTTGTTCTTTTTTGTTGTGGTGTTTTTTTTTTTTTTTTTTTTTTTTTTTTTTTTTTTTTTTTTTGTTTTTNTTTTTTTTTTTTTTTTTTTTTTTTTGTTTGTTTTTTGGTTTTGTTTTTCTGCCTTAGCAAAGAAAGCATCCCCTAGAGGAGTGTCAGGCATCCATTATGTTCACTTCTCTTTAACCTTCCGTGATGAGCTGAAATGCCTTATTTTTTAAATAGAAGACTTGAAAGAAATTTTGAATGACTTTTAAGCGCACTCACTAAATAAATGTCTTGAGGTTCTTAAATTGATGCCTTTTCCTTGCTTTGCCTCTATGTTAATTTTTTCTTGTGTTTGTACTTCCTAAATAGTTATTGAGACTGATGGATGTGAATTAAAGCATCTAATAAGCTGATTAGAGAAATAATGGCTTTATATTAAGAACCTGGCCTGGCAATAAAATGTTTGAAATGTGCATGCTTAATCATATGGTAATAAAAGGCTCTTTCAGAAAAAAGGGCTGAACAGAATGATTCAGGCCTCAGCCTTCCTATGGTTGCTGCAGCAGGTACATAACCTGGTAGTAATTAATTTGAACACCCATCAGTTATGTGACCAGATATGGCATGTAGCACTTCCAAGAAATGTGTTTGTCGAATTTACGCAACTTGTCCTCAAAGTAAATGTCTTCTTCACATATTCTCACTTGAAGTGATTTAATAATTTGACTAGTAGCTTGTCAGTGAGAAAATCTATTTTGCACTTATTTAGGGACTTCAGAAAAAAAACATGATCCATTTTTCATGACTAAACTAGAAATTCTCTTCCCTCTCCCACCCCTGTTCCTGCCAATAATGGACAATATAAGAAAAAAAAGTGTGGGGGGAGGTTTAACATTGAATACTTGCACACGTTTTCCTTTGAATCCAGGATAAAACTTACTGGTTGATACGAAGTATTGAAAGTTGCAGTGAGAGGTTTGGACAACTGTATCAAGGGATGATAGTTTTCTTTGAAAGTCAGGTAGGGATCGTTGCTATTCAACAATATTTTATTACATAAAGGCTTAAACCAGGCTGTATTTATAGGAGTTTGGCCTGTAAGGAGACACAAAAATACCTTGTTGAAATTACATTATTTTACTTTTTATCTTAGGAAATGGCTAACTAGTTACTGGAGCAATTTGAACAGTACTTTAAAAGTACCCCATGGAAAGAAGGCAACGGGCATATTTGACAAAGATTGCTAAAGTTATCCATAGAACACATGCTGAGATACCCTCTTGTCATGATAAGGCCCCTGCTGTGCCAAATACAAAGCATTTATGATGCTAATATTCTGCTTTGCCTCTGCAGCACAGGACCCAGCTCTTGAAGATCTAATGCAAGATGGATGTTTGTCTATAAAAGCCTCTTAGCACTTTTGAAAGTTAGGCTATAGGGACCACTATGATAGTGAATGATTGGTAGCTCAGTAATCTGCTTTACAAAAAGCCCTGAGTGAGGTATCTATATTTATGTATATTTAATAATGACAGAACTTCAAATGGACTAGAATTTGACTTACTTAGGAACTTACAGAAGCTGCTCATACTGCTTAAATCCTTGTATATGTAGATAACGTGAGGACTTTTAATTTGTTCATGATTTTTAGTCTTTTCCAGCTCTGCTGTGAAACAGTTCTTCTACTTTGAAGTGATCTATGACATACAGAATTGGGGAAGAAAAATGTACAAAACAGAGCTTAAATAAGATCATATCATTAATTTTTTTTTTCCTCCTAATGTTGCAGATTTTTCTCCTTGCCTGTCCTCCATGTCGGCTCGCAATGATTCTTTTCAGGTAATACCATGTTCTTGCTATATTTCTGTCTACTTGCATGATGTGCTTTTAAAGTCAATCGTGGTTTAAGTCATAAAATATTAAAATACACATCCAGCTCTTCATTAGAAAAGAATACTGGTTGGACTGAAAGCTGAGTCCTTGAAAAGAGCCAAGCCTTCAAGCATGGTGCTGAGTCCACTTACCCTTGTTCCTTTCTTACTGGTGGTGGTTTTGCTCTCATTAGCAACATCTTTTAGCTCTGTACTTGATGAGAGCGCAGGTGTCCTACTACAGATTAACCCATGAGCTTGTTTAATTTATATCATGTGCCTTGTGCTTACTGATTATCTTCACATTAGTAGTTGATGATCATGGAAGGCCATATGCAGAATATGGGTCTATTTGTTTTTTTAAATGTGGAGATAAGTTAAAGCAAATTCTTATTGATCTGAGTATCTCACAAACATATGCAGTCTTCTCTGTAACGTTGCTCATTGTTACCAGCTTTAGGAAGTGGTCTAATGGACAAGTGCAGTAGAGTAATCAGCTCATAGTTTTTAAAGGCTCTTACTTGGAGGGTCTTAGAGTTCTTGTTCTTGAAACCCCTCTCTCACAAGTGCTGCATTGCAGGGGTTCAGTTAAATCATATTGTGGGGAAGGTCACGGGGCTTCCCGGACAGGATGAGAATCAGAAATGGCCATAGTTGCCACCATGACAGTTCACTTGGCTCTTTCCTGTCTTAGTCTAGGCAGTTACTGGAAGATACGATGCTGAGGGCCTGCCCCATGGACAGGTTTGGAGGCGCTCCTGTCTGGCTGCAACTTTTTCCTGCTGCCCCTTGTTTGGACAGGGAGCAGCTGAATGCAGACATCAGCCCTAGTTTATCTCAGGGAGTGTGCAAAGTCAGTCTGATGTCTAGTAAAACCTGTATTTATTATGCATTTGCAAAGGAGTGGTTGCAGGGCAGAGGCTGCAGTATTTGTTCTTTTTCAGAGTGAAGCTTTTTATTTTCTGACATCCTAACATAAAAATGACATTTGAAGAACTATTTAGGAATTACAATGCCTTCCCACCACTTCTATTTACTTATAAGCTTTGTAATTTTTAATAGAGTTTATGATAGGCAGTGGTTGTAGAATGAATTTTATGCTTTACTTTGCTTCTTACATAAAGTAAACAGTACTGACCTTACATCTGTGTGTACCTGATATGACGGTGGTTCAGGGAGAGATGACTGAAAGCTGTACATCACTGTAATTTGAAGAAATTCAGTACCCTTCTCTTTTCTTGGGATTCACTGTTGCTTCTTAAATAACAGAATTATATTTGTTAAGTAACTAAAAAGTCAGACTTTGAAATTCCTCAAGCTTTAGTTTGATGTTACATACATCAATCAAGTTAGATGGAAGTAAAAACTTTATAAAATCTCTATGTTAAGCTCTAAAAGCAAAATGAACAGGAAGATTCCAATCAGTTAGCAGCCTGGACCATGGACGAGATTAATATGAACAGGCCGTCCAGACCTTCTGGGAATCCATAGATCATTATAGGAAGCAGTACTACTTCAGGAAATTATTTAAATATCTATTTAAAGAGAGGTTTTTATCCTGACTATTGTAGTTAGTGGTGTAGTGGTGGTGGTCAAATTCAAGCCATCAGAATTTTCTCAAATCTCTTGCTGCATTTTATGGAAGACATACTACATAAAATACTGTGTAGCTATACAAAACATACACATGTAGCATGCTAAATAAAAACATTGCAGGTCATTACCAATCTATGAAAATAATGTCTTATCTCTCTTCTAAGGTTACAGATGCATATGTTAAATGGGGCCCTCTTGGCACTGCTGTTTCCAGTTGTTAACACACGCCTGGTGAGTGTCCTATACCTTTCCTTTCCTCTGGCATTTCTTTCTACAGTACTTTGTTTAGAAAGGTGCCTGACCTTTGCTTGAGCTGTCTTTAGAGATGGCTAAATTACATAGATTTGATTTAGGAGCTATACATCTGTAATACTAAGCAAGTTTTGATAGTTAAAGTTTCTTGCTGCATGTAAATTCACTGGTCATGGAATATATTTCTGCACATATCTCCTCTCTCTTAATTAAATTCAGCAGAATTCATACTATTTTGATAATGAATCCAAGTGATCTATAAATACCTGCAGGATTTGTGTATTGAAGAGATAGCTAAGACACTGAGAAAAATGTGAGAGTGTTTCACTCAAAGCAGGTAAGTTAGCTATTTTGCTAAGATCTTTCTGAAGATTATGTAGATTATCCCCGAGTTGTTGCTTCTACTACAAAGAACTTACAGTTTTGAATGTTAGATTACTAACATTAAGTAGCAAGTACAAGTAGCTGCCTTTCTTCATCCCAGTCCCAGTTTTATAAAGCTATCTAGAAGGTGGTGCCCCTGCCTTCTACACTGCAGGGGCAAACTAACAGCTTTCTAAATGCAGTTTTTCATTTGTATTATTTTAGCAGTGCTTGAGTCAACAGTATTGAATGTCTGAAACTGAAGAACTTGTGTCTTTTCAAGCAGATGTTTGTAGAGCTATAAATACAAGTATAACAGTATAATATATAAATGAAAAGTATAGAAAGAAGTTTAGAATGGCTAAGTTGTCCAATGAGTGATTTGACAAAGAGTGATTTGACAGCAGGTGACTTAAGAGGCTGGTGGCTAGCCTGTGCTAACTTTTCTCCTTGTCTTTTACAGGATAAATAGATTGTGAAGAATAAGTTAATGCAAATAAGGTAGTTTGTATCTCTCACATGATTAGGTTAATTCTGAAGTCTAAATTCTTTTGTAGGATGGCAGCAGTGCATTCAGGAATGTAGCTGCAGCGTCATAATTGTGGTGAGCTTAACCTAGTAAACTGGCAAGCAAGATCTGTGGAGATGTGGTAGTGCAGTTTGTGTAGGCTGCTAATACAAGGACATGTTCAGCATCCCATCATGTCTTGACTCTACGAATAAATTTCAGCACAGATTCTCTTAACAAACCTCACGACTGTGCATGCTAACACTTCCCTTCAGAAGCAGATTCTGATTCTCTCCCTGTGTATGTATATGTGTATACATATTATATCCACCTTAATAGGATTAATTGAAAATGAAATGAAAACCAGATCAAATTCAATAAAACCGATCAATTAATGCTATCTTAAAGAATTATATTAGAATTCTCTCTACTGACCGCATTGCATGGAAGGTGACAGATGCCTACTTAAAGCTGAGATTCGTGGGGTTTTTCGGGGTAGGAGGAGGATCAATATATATTTGCATCAGTTACAGATAGGCAGGTATATTGCAGGAAATCTGAATGCAACAAGCTGCCTCTAAAATATCAGAAAAAGAATTGTTGCAAATAAAATCTGGAGAAATTGTTTTATACCTTAGCACAGATGTGTCATAGATAGGTACCAGATATTTAGCCTTGGTACCCAGGTATTTTAAGTGGCTTTACTGCTGACATTAATGCCAACATTAACATATCTTTGTTTTTGACCCACTGGAGTACGTGGGAATCCCTTAGTAATCTATGCTAGGTAGACAAACTGGTGCTTGAGCTATGGAAATGGCTGAATAGTTTAAGAGTAACTTGAGCACTGGTCAGGTTTTTGGCTACTTGCCAGGGTGGATGCCTGCTTGAGAAATGAGTCCTAGGAGGCCTGGAAATAACCTGTTTTCTGAGGACCACTTGTGGTTTTGTTTTGGATTTTTTTTTCCTTTTTGAAGACTTCATGGTCTGTCCTTAGTCTCTTAAACTTCTTTGGCAACTGCCCCTCTGCCAAATAAGTCATCTGCCGAGAAGTAACCAACATAAGTCATCTGCCGAGAAGTAACCTTCAAAGGCTGAGAGAGCTGGGTCTGTTCAGCCTGGAGAAGAGAAGGCTGAGGGGGGACCTGATCAGCGTGTATAAATACCTCAAGGGAGGGAGGGAGGAGGAGGGGGTGGCCTCTTTTCAGTGATGGACAGTGATAGGACTAGAGGAAATGGCTTCAAACTGAAGCATCGGAAGTTCCACAGGAACTTAAGGAAGCATTTCTTCACTGTGAGGGTGACAAAGCACTGGAACAGGTTGCCCAGAGAGGTTGTGGAGTATCCTTCTTTGGAGATCTTTAAAACCCGCTTGGATGCAGCCCTGTGCCACGTGCTCTAGGTGACCCTGCGTGTGCAGGGGGGTTGGACTAGATGACCTCTGAGGTCCCTTCCAACCTTGGGCATTCTATGATTCTATGACATCTCTTACATGGTGCTACTAGCTGTTTGCCCCATATTTTCTTCACTGTGCAGCTTTATGTAGGTTCCCCCTCTCTCCTATTTCATGTATTGTGGTTTTCAGTGCAGGTTAAATTTAAAAATGTGCCTGTCATTTACTTGTGGATTACTGACCCTGTCTAGGAAACAAGTCATTGATTATGAATCTGGGTTAGTGACTATGTGTAGGAAAGCTACAGGTGCAGGATACTGTTCAGGCCTTTCCTGCAGACACGTAGCCTTCCTGCTGGATGTGCTACAGAGAAGGGCAGAGCTGAATTACTTCTGTGCCTTTTGCTGACATACCCGCCAGTCTTTGTAGAGGATGGCGGATGGAGAGTTCTTGCACAGCATAGTGCCTTCGTCTATTGTTGCAAAGATAATGCCAGGGTATAAATAATTAACAGAGGGAGGAGTACTACTTTTATAAAATAGAGCAAAGTAGCAACCTGCTATCCCACTGAAAATCACCTGCTTAGCTGAAGTGGGTTTAGTCTAGTATCTTACCATGCTTTGTGGGGCTGGGAAGATCTCGAATCTGTAATATCAGACTTCTGGGCTCAACTTTATTTGAAGCAGTTCTGAAAAGCTTTTTCTAAATCTTAGTGCAGTCGATGGGCAGAGCTAATTGTTTCCTTAGGGCAATAGCTCGTTTAAGTTAGGCATTCATTGTGTCCTGAAGAGTCCTGCTGCTGATGGCTAGGACTTTCCTTGCTCAGAGACAAGAGCTGAGCTACAACATCTCTTTTCTACAGTCTCTCAAGCAATGGAATTAGCTGCTAGGAGTTTAGCTAGACCAGCGTACCTAACTTACCTGTTGCTGGGATGAAAGCTTACTGCCTGCTCTTGATTTATTCTTGGTCCGTCTCAAGTGAGTCCTCAGCAAGTGTCCTGGTTTGTGGCCCTTGTGAAACTGCACCATACTTCACTGATGTGGGTGCAAGCAGCAGATATGGCTACTTTGAGCCAAACTCTTCCTGAAAAACAAAACACTATACATTTTCTGATGAAATTTCTGTTATAAGAATGTAAAAACTGAATAGTCCGAATGATAATTTATTTAAAATTTATTTATTTAGTGTTAACTATATATTACATAGTACTCTGGATTTTGTATGTATGTTTGAAGAATTGTGAGTGTCAATATTAGGTGGTGTCAAAACAGCATGATTTTATACCAATATTAAAACCAGTGAATGGACAATGAACACATTTTTCTTCAAGTAGAAACTTAGGATCTTGATTAACAGAGTTGCCAGTACTCTGCATTCATTTAGACTGTTAAGAGAGCTAGAATAGTAGAAGAATGGAAAAATTGACATTTTATCTTGTACAGATGGAGATAAAGAAATACACCATCCCTGTTACTAGGGAGGTACTTGCTGCTCTTGAGAGTGGCCTCTAGGCACCATCAAAGGCGTCGTCTGTTGGGGCTTGTGGCGAGGGTCGGCTTTAGAGTTTGTTGAAGTCTGGATTTAGCTACTCATGGGCTTCGCAGCTGCATGCCATCAAATATTATGAGATGAATTCAATCAGGAGGCAGTATTCTGGCCTACTGTATGTTCTGCGTGTTGCTTTGATTTTTGGATATCTCAAACTTGCTAAACTTCTGAATTTCTGAACTGCTAATTTGTTTTCACAAAGAGGTCTTTAAAAGCTTGGATTGATGGGTGATCGTACATTGTCTCCACTTGCAAATTCTTGTTGCACATTCAAGGTACCTATCTGCTACCTGTGAATGAGTGTTTATTGATAAAACAATTTACAGACCTTTAGAGCTGGGTGAGTCAGTTGTTCTGTACAACTTTATAGTTAGTTTTTTGTGTTTGTTCTTTTCTCTTTATTGTAGCTTGGCTGTACAGAGAGGTCTGCATTGCCAGTTCCATACCAGGAAATACACTTGCATAATTAGCCAAGCTTCAGAACAATTGATCTTTCAGCAAAAGAAAATGTTGGTTTGTTTTACACAGAAAAAAATCACTATTGCAGCAGAACAACTGTTGCTGTGTTCTCAGAAGTGTCCTGAGCGTAATGTTTGTGTAACTGACCCTCACAACTCAGCAAGTGCAGAAGCTCTTGGTAAACTCGAGGATCCTACAGCGAGATCTCCTTGGCATGGAGTGGGTGCCTGTGCCGTGTTGTTCCTTTTAGGAACTCTTGTTTCTGGAGTGTGCCTGTTCCAGCAGGAGAGCTTCGGGTTCCTTCCCATTGCTACAGCTGTGTTAGTCTCTTTTCAAATCTTCTTACGTGATACCATGCTTTTACCCATTGTGTGTTTCAACTGGTAATACAAAAGATAAAGATAAGATTAATATTCAGGAAAGTTCAGAATTTCTGTGTTCTTCCTTTAGCATACATAACTTCAGCTTACTTCAGCTTATTTTCCAATAATTGTTTGAAGATGCTGGAGTTTACAATCAGTGGGATTAAACACTAATAGGGTTTAAAGTATTCAGCCGGGGGATGCCCGGAGTAATGGAATCAAGCCACTGGGTTTAACAGCTTTTACAGTTTAACAGCTTTTACAGTCAAAAATTAAAAAAAAAAAAAAAGTAGTAGGATTTTAACTGTAGTATTTACACTAGGCAAGAAGCATTTTCACTGTAGTATTTACCTGCTGTTTACTGACTGTTGTTTAGAAAGAATGTAGAAAGAATGTGAAGACTATTTAGAATATTAGGTGATGTTTCTGTTTCAACATTATGATTTTATATCTTCAAACGATGATGGAAAAGGCAGGTGCTTTTATCCCCCCCCCTTCTTTTTTAATTTTTAACAGACAAGCCATGATAATATAGTAGGACATGTTAGCATTTAAAATGACTACATTTGAACCAAGCCTAATGATTTGGCTTTGCATTATTCTTGTGAGATTTCTGACTCAAGCTAAGGGTATTGTCTGATTCTTACATCTGAAATATATTAGAAAAGTATGTCTTTTCAGCCTTTTAAGTGAATGGCAACAACAACCTGGATTCTGAATTTTGAATTAGATTTCTTTTTTCCTGCCTTTGTTCAGTTTTAAATGTATTACGTTCTAGTTTAAGTCTTTTTTTTCTTTGTAACGAGTGTATATAGACAAAGACACAGGGAATAACTTCCAGATACAGTGTATTACTTTTTCTAGCTCATACAGAACTAGAATTAGAATTAGTTTGGCTCTGGTTCAGGTTATTTTTAGAACAGTATTATTTTTGTACAGGCTGTCTGACTTCTCCTCTAAGAGGTAACATAAATTCAACTGTGCACACAAATGAATAACAGTGACTTCTCAGAAGCTGTTAGCACATTAGGAATACCTGATTTACCACTAACAGGTAACTTGTTCATACCCATTTTTCTGCAGCTTGAAGATTAACTAGTTTTTATCTATTTTGAATTTTATTAGTTTTAGGAGAAGCACAGCAGTTTCATACATGTATGCAGTTGAAAATAAGACCTTTCAAAAAATTTTACATGGACTCGGTCAGCAGTAGCTTTTATTCTAAAAAATAAAAAAATTGTTGTAATGAAAAGTACCTTCTGTATGGACTTTTATCACTTTCAAGTTAGCAGTTCATTGTAAAAAGAGCTTAGATAGATTCTTGTGGGGCATAAAACAGTTTTTCTTAAAAATGGTTCCTTTTAACACAGTTGTTAATAATGAAAATATTTTTCTTATTCCTCAGCTACCATTTGAAATGGAAATTTATTACATACAGCATGTGATGCTCTATGTTGTGCCCATTTACCTGCTGCGGAAAGGAGGTAGGTTGGCACTTTCGCCTTTTTATGTTGAATTGATCCCATCCCATGGAAGATGATGTGCCTAATCGCTAACACAGATTTTGCTCTTTTTCAACATTACTCTTGTATGCTGTTATTTAACAGTTCCTGGTGGTATGCTGGAGTTCTGTCCAGCAGAACTCCACTGTTCTGTTCAGTGTCAGGCACTGAATTAGTGGAATAAAAAGATGGTGTTTTGCCAAAATAGATTATGTTACTTTCAAGACTCTGGCCTTCTTGGATGTTTCCTTGAAAGTACTGCACCTTAAACTGAGCTGAAAAGATTTCTTTTTACCCCTAGATCCCAGGTAAATATTAATCAGCTAGTTAGATAATTTCTTGGAATTCTGCAGTTCTAATTAAATGCTGTGGCACAGATTAGTGAAACAGGCTGGCTTCCTTGTTATCTTCTCCAACAGGATTACTATCTGGTATTCATTTTTCTGTAATATTGCAATAAGCCTGGGAATCCTAAATCACTGTGCTGACTGGGGTTTTGTGACCTTCACCCCTTAGAAGGTAATGTAGAACGTGTTCATCTGGTGCAATGCTCTGACCCTCTCTCTTGTTCATTGTGCCCTCAGCTGCTTTATCTAGCAGAACTACATTGTTTCATTTAGGAAATAAAAGATCATAATGTGTGGTTCAGATGTTCAGTAGCTTTAGTTCACAGCCTAGAGATAGGCTCTGATGCTGAGCAATGGGATACAGCTTACAATCCTTTGCACTTACTACACTATAAGGTTGTAACCTTCTTGTTCTTGATTACTGAAAATGATCCAAATAAAAAGTGAAATACAGTAATTCAGAGATCACTATGCTTGTCTCTTTAGTGAAATATGCTAGCCACATTTTGTTTTGATACAACATTGATAGCATTGTTTGCCAGAATTTTAAGATACAGTAAAACAGAAGTTATGTAAACTCTTATTAATTATAGAAGGCAGAGAGTTGTAGGCAATTATGTTGTAGGCAATGACAAATCAAGCTCTTGTAATATTGCCACATCACTTCTTTTGATGTCCTTTAAGTTCTTAAATAATGTATCACTTTGAGTTGTATATTTGCTTTTTTTTTTTTAAGAGTGAATGTTACTCTGTTTTCGCTGTGCCTTATATCTGGGGTTGATGGGACTCTTATCTGCAGTTTAAAGGGCTTCATGTTATACAGCGTCTCCTTTGTAGCCTAATGTGCCCTTTATTAATTTCCAAGTATTTGCTGCCATCTAATGTTGACATGATAGTACTGAAATTTCAAACCCAAACTTTATTGGCTAAATAATCAATTGAGATTGCTATAGATTGTGTATCTAACTTCAATTTCTTATGCTAGTGGTTCCTAATAGGCACCTGAATTACCGTAATAACAGTTATAAGTTATTATCCTTAGCAAAACACATGAACTTTGGCAGTATTTATGGCTGATGCCACAGATGATTAAATTTATGATTGTTCACAGAAACTCTTGTTGATTCTGTCTAATAATATTTGTTAATATTTTTGTCATTTCAATAGCACCTGTGTTTAAAAACACTGAGTGGATGATACTCTTTATCATATCTTCTGCAAGCTGATCTATTGTCATGGACATTAATCAGCCCTATATTTATTGATAGCAGCTCTATATCTGTATGTGTGATAGAAAGCTCCACCAGTGAGTCTATCAATTTCATGCAGAAGTAACTGAAGACAAGTAAAAAATGAAAAGGTCTGAAAATGTGAAAAAGTTCATTACTTCAGTTTTATTGGAAACCTATTGAGATTTCTGATTGCTGTAATAGAAATATTGTGATAGAGATTCTATTAAGTGAGTTGAGCAAAACACCTGAAGAAGAGGTGGCCTGATGCTTATTCTAGATAGAAGTGAAAGAAATTTCCTTTCTTTCCTTTCTAACAGATTTCCTTTCTAAGTATGCATATGCATGTATGCATGCACATATGCACACATACCACTTGGAGACAAAATGATTGCTCATGTACTGTGCATCAGATCTTTGTCAACTGCACTACGAGGCTCTCAGGCAAAACATATGGAGGGCAGATGTAAATGGTCAGCACAGAAGACTGTAACTCGAGGCAGTTCCTACATGAAGGACATTTGTAGTTGGCTGCTTTCCTGTGGGATGAATCTCACCTTGAATACCCTGTGAACCTTGCCAAAAATTATATTCTAGATCTGGGCAAGAAGCAGCTTTTCTGAAAGCTCTGATCAGACTGCCCAACTATAGGACAAGACAGGACCCACAGCAGCACTGAATTAGACCATGGAACCAGTTCACTGAGAACTCTTCAAACCTCTTACATCTGCAGTCACAGCTCAGCTGCTCTTCTGAAGCATACAAGTTTGCTCACATAAAGAGACTGTATTTGGTCACTTGCTGTTAGAAGGTGTATGCAGCTGGGGAACTGCAATGTCTCAAAGTGCCACTGCTTTTTCAGGAGGGCACTGGCCTAACCTCCAAGATTAGGGTCCTAGACACCTCCAGTTGTGTTCAAGGAAAACTAATTTTGCCTACTCTGTGACATAATGGAAAGAAATCCTAGCTTACACTGTATCAGCATCAGAGATCCAACATTCCTGACTGGCTTGGGCCTTAAGCAAGGAAATCTATATGTGGTAAGGCTTTGAGGTGCATTTGACAAGATCAGGTGTGAACTTCATTTCACAGCTCCAAATTATATTGAAATTTAATCAGAATGGTGGTGTTATTTCCTAAGTGCTGTGAGCAAATGCTTAGCATTCCATAATGGTACAGAGTAAGAGTTAATATGGGGCTACTCCTTAGTGAAAGAGTTCAGGCGATAATCTCTTTTTAAGGACTGGGATCTCCAGCATAATCATATGGACCAGTAAATAATAACATAACAGGAAATATCAGGATTTTTTTTTCCTTTTTTTGGGGGGAGTGGGGTGAGGTTTAACACTCTAAAAAGCAATCTGATGTACAAAACAGATATACCTGAAGTTCCAGGAATATCCCTTATTCTTATTCAGAGTCCTTTGTATCGGTGTGACTTCAGTGTCACACAGTGTCGCTGCTCAGTGCAGACGTGTTGGTCTGCAGGGGGAGCCAGGTCTCCAGTGTCCTCCTTGTTAAAAGACGTGCACAAACTCACTGTTCCAACACTTGTCCATGCTGTGGAAAGAGTAAACTGCTGTATTTTGGGCAGGGAAAAAATAAATCTCCACTTGCAACCAAAAGAAGAGTAATTTTCTATTACATTATGCTTGTATGTAAATACAAAAAAAAAAAGTACTAGTTTCTGTTAAATTATGTAAAGATTTTCACAACCTACTTTTTGAGAGATTAAAATGAAAATAAATAGTAAGGACAGTAGAACTAACACAAGACTTCATGGGGGAAAAAGTCTGTATAAAGGAAATTTAATGTCTGTTTAGTGTTGATCTTTAGATTTTAAAGCCACATGTCCATTTCCTAGATGTCAAAATTAACTCTTTGACTTGCCTAAGGTCACATGAATTCTTGTTGTGGGAGCAGATGACAGACCCAAATCTCCTGGATGTCTATTGAGCCCTTCCCAGCACTGCTTCTGAAATAAGAGAAGTGTAAACTGAAATATCCATTACCATGCTATTTCAGCACAAGAGCAAATATTCAGCCTACTTAGATGACCCTGATCTGGAACGGTCTAAACTGTCTGGGGCGCGAGCATTTCTGAGAATGAGATTAGTGCCAGACTGGCAGTTGGATTAAATTTTTTTAATGTGCTTAACATATAAGAACTGCCTGTGATCCTTAGTGAATAGAGAGATAGTGGAGCCTACTGTGACATATTGACATTGATTTCCCCTGTGAGCAGCAAAGAGCTTGTGATAAAGCCACCACAGGCCATTCCAACAGCCACTCGGTTGGGTCTCGGTTTTTGTTTTTGTCTGTTGTTCTTACTGGCCTAGTAAAGACAGCAGATCACATAGGGCTGGTAAGTAGTCATCTGTATATACAGATTATATATATATATGTATCAATAGCAGTGCTGCAAAGGTATAAAATCTATTATCTAGTGAGAAATGTTTGCAAAATATCCCTGTGATATAAATTTAAAATTAATGTCTCAAATCACACGTGGGAGTCCAGATCACTCTGAAATGTTCTGTGTGAAGGTTGCTGTTTCCTTTTTGAAATCATGTAGGACACTAAGCTGTCCCCCAAATATCAAGCTCTCTGCATTCTAGCTTTTCTGCATGTTTACCTCTTTAGTTTAGTGCCATCTGTTCTTGGGCTTTATAGAAGAGTTCTGAAATAACACAAGTAAATGTCAACCAGGTGAGTTCATGTGCAAATGAGTAAGATACAGCACTACTCTACCAGCTCCTGGTAGACAGCTTTAGATAGCTTAACTATTTAAATATTGTTTTGAATAATGCATCTAGATTAAAAATGCACCTAAAGCTGCAAAGACAACACTAAAAAGCTTTGCAAGTCAAGTGACATTTACTTCAAAGCGGGGGAGGCAGCACAGAAAGTTTATGCACAGCTTGACCAAGTCATTTAAAGTTGGCACTTTGGTAAAAGAGCTGGGGACAGTTCAACTCTGGCCCCAAGGCTCTTTGCCTTCCTCTCTTACTATCTCTAATGAAAAAAATATATGCAAGGTGGTGTCATGTAGCTGCCATCTTAACTGATGTTTTCAGGAAGTGAGGTTTAATTAATATCACTATTTAAGTAAAGACTTGGTTGTAAGTAGGATACCTCCCAGCTGTTAGATCATACTTGTTAAATATGTTAGAAGTACTAGACTTATCTAAATTTTCTCCCATGTACTATAGAGCACTCTATTATTCCTATCAGGCCCACTTTTAACTTCAGATTTTGTTTGTAGTTCATACTTCCTCTGACCTTCACCTGCCTGCTGGAAAAGAAATCTTATAAGCTGCCTTACACTTTCCAAGTAGCTTCCCTGCTCCTATCTGTCATGGTTATATGAAGTCACAGGTTGCTTACTAAAACAGGGTATGCAATTGTGTTTTGGGTAAAAATACAATAATTTTGTTGCTTATCAAAGGCACAGTGAGAGTGATATATAGGGTACGTATGTGCTGCTATTGTTCAAGTATGCAGCCAACTTCCTGCTCTCTATTACTGGGAATAGAGCTGCTATGTTGCTGTCAGTTGACAATGTAATTGTAAAGCTGTCAGCAACCTTAGAATGTAAAATGGAAGGATATTCTAACTTTCTGCAATTTCTATTTAAATTACATTGATTTTGCTGTAGGTATCTGGCATGACAGCCAAAATTACAGATAAACAAATGTATAAAAAATTATCAAAGGATAATAAAGAGAAGCAGTCTTCTGGTGATTTTCATGCCAGAGACTGGCATGACTAAATGGTGAAGCAGGTAAAAAGTTACTTGCCTTTGTCTTCATAAGATCCTGCAGAGAGGCATACTCATAGGAGCCTTAGTGGAGTGAGTACTGCCAGAGCTACCTACACATGCACACAGTTATTCTCATCCTCAGGAGGCTCATGCAGCCTATGCTGAAGTCTTTCCAATCTTTATGATTACTGCTCAATTGATAGCTAGGGAAGGGCAATATCAATATGCCTCTCTCTGCTATGAGGCATCCTTTGAGTAATGAGTATACAGATCAACATTTGGTAATATCTAACAGGGCAGAGAGCAGGCAAAGGTAAAACTGACACTGTATTTTTGTAATTGTCTAAAAGTCTACAACTTTCTACAGAGCATGAGCATGACAGTGTGCATCTTCTGTGTGTATGTGTATTTTCCTAGGATATTAAAGCCATATAGAAAGCCATATTTTACAAATGTGTCTGCTAGTAAGACTTCAACAATTCTGCAGACCGTTTTTGTTATTTCCATGTGTTTGAGTATTTAATTCTAAAAATAGTCTTGCATCTAAGAGTTCTTTTATCAGAGTGTTATTACTACTTTGGTAAATTCTAAATCAGGTGACATTGTGTTTTTTTCATTAAATTGCCAAAATGCCCTTTCAGGAGGACAGCCCCAAAATACTGTGGTACTTCCTGCTTCATTTGTGGGGTACAAATATTTTTGCAGCATCTGTGATATTTACTGAATATAAAATAAATAGCTTATATTCTGTATTTGAGAGTACTTCCACAGCAATTTTCACTTAAGAACATGGTCTGTCACTAAGGGATTGAAATAAGAAATAAGACTCTCAAATATTGATTACTATAACGGTAGTCCCTAGGCTATCATCTAAAAACAGATACCCCAGCATCTGGAGAAAAGAGGATTTTCTGTGAGTGCCTAACCACAGTAATCAGCTGAACACTGACATATTCCGTTCTTTTCAAGGTATCTACACTCCAGAACCACTCTCCAATTTCTGGTGGGCATTTCTATCTACTGGGCTTATGTTTGTGTACCATTTTAGCATCTTGCAGATTCTGGGATTGGTAAGTACTTGTGTGTTAGGAAATGGGTAGTTAGCAAGTACTTTCAAAATAAAAACACTGTCTAGTTTTTCAAAGTGTCTAGATTCATATGGATAAAATTACTTTAATGCAAAGTTTTAACTGCACATCCTAATGGCCGTTTGTATCTCATATTTCATAAGTAGTGATAAAACTTCCACAGATCAGTTACACATCTGTATAAATACAACTCTTAAATGCAGAACTGCAGTCAGATGTGCCTTCTTTCTGAAAGCTGGCCTATTAATGTAGAACAAAGGATTACCTGCAAAACATTTCTGATTACTATGATAATTTTCAAATTACCATTTTAAGTGGTATTACTAATTTATACATTTGTTGTCCCTTTCCTAGGTCACAGAAGTGAATTTGAACAACATGTTATGCCCAGCCATCTCAGACCCTTTTTATGGGCCCTGGTATCGAATCTGGGCATCTGGACATCAGACTGTCATGACCATGACTCATGGGAAACTTGTAATCCTGCTGTTTTACAGTGCTCTCCCCATCTTTAAATGTAGCATGGACTTGTTTAGATTCCCCACTAAGAAAATAGACTGAAATTTCTCCTCAGGAAATAGTACATAGAGAAAGCAGAGGCACTTATACTGAAAAAGAAAGAGGAGGGATGAGAGGACAGTGTGTTTATACTTCTTCCTACAGTTTATTGCCTCAAAAACACCTTTGTAATCAAGTGAGCATTTTTTTTTCTTTTAACTGCTGTTTCTCACTGTTAATTGCCAATGGCAAAATTAGTGGCCTTATTCTGGAAATGAATCGTGTTTTATACATTTTGTGTAAGTTACAGTGGCTAAGCCACCCTTTAAAATTAGGCCCAATATCTGTCCACATTCCAGCGAAGAGAGTGTCAGTGCTACCTCGTTTTATGACTTCTTTTTCTACTAATCATCAGTACACTTACATCCCAGGACAGGAACTAAAGCTGAATTATAATTCACCACTGATAAGAACAGAGCATATCTTCAAGTGCATCATCCTGTCTTAGCTCTTAGTGCTTGAATGTTATAAAACAGTCACAGTGAAGAAATGTACACTGACTCTCCCAGCAACAAGTGTGAAACATTGAGATTCTACTGTATTTTCATAAGGCTGGTTGAAAATATTGGAAAATAATAACAATAACTTGTTACAACAGTAACAACAAAAATTGCTGTAAATGAAACCTGTGTTTTAAGTGACTACTTTATTTCTAAGCTGCTGTGGATTAATATCTGACTAGGTCCCATTGTATCTTAAGGTTTTGGAGATGTTTTTATTTGAGTGACTGGAAAAAACTCCAAGTTGAAACTATTTCAAAAAGCTGTAGAACATCTAGGCTAAAATAGATATTTCATCCACTGTTCTGACTTGCTTTTGAACAAAATGGTTATTGACATTTAGCTTAGATGGAGAGAGAGTCGAGATACAAAGCCCAATGTGAACATCAGATTTTTTTTGGTGGTGGTGGTTGTTTTGTTTTGTTTTTAACTTGCTAGCTTTGGAAACATTCCTGTTCTGTACTCTACACTGATCCTCAGTGAGGGAAGAATTTTTTTTTTATTTCTTTACACTTATAATATGCTGTATATACTGATTTAAAAACATAGGCATAAAAAGGAGAGCTAAATAGGTCCACCTCTTTAGCCACCACTGGGGAGGTGGTGTTTCAGGTCAGTACTATGACTGCATTTACACTAAGAGAGAAACTTCTTTTTGATGCATATTTAGGAGTAGAATGGGATGCAGGCAGGCAGCAATTTAAAAAGTGAAATGTGCGTGCCTCTTCACATTTTCTAAGTCTAGAGGGAGAAATTTGGGGACAGAAAGAGGGGGAATCATGACCTGTATATATTCAGCTAGTTACTTCTAAGTCCATTCTTTGGGCAGACTGTATTTCAGGGCTGCAGAAATTTTGTTGTACAGAAATTTATAGTTTCCTTTCATTGTATTGTTGTAGCTGTGACTTGTAATATAAATCAAAACCATCATACCTCCTCCTTCAGCTCAGTCACCTGAAGATCTATTCTGAAGTTAAGGTACAGTCATGCATACCTCAAGAAGGAAAGTAAGAACGAAAAGAATATTTTTTTTCCTGTTTTAAGAGAGCAAAATTTTAATTGGAGAGCAAATGGCTTTTCCAAATATTTTAACTCCAATGGATTGAGGGGAAAAAAAAAAAGCCCACAATGTGAAGTGCTTCACCCCAGGTTCTGACTTGCAAATTGCCTGGCTGCAGAATACACGCACACACGCATGCATATATGCATGTGCTCTTCCCTCCCCCCAGTTATGGTCAAGCTTATCTTTTTTTATTTACATATGAAATTGGCAAAATGCCTTGGATTGAATTAAATCCTGGTTAAAAAGAATGTTTGAAAGCATTTTAGAAAGAATTTTTCAATATGAGCATTGTTTTTTAAATATTACTAGTTTTTGAAGCATTGTTTCTGTTTCCTTACCTGTTCTAAAAAATATTGTAGCTACTGGAAAAAGGTGAGTTACAAACAGAAAAGGCCCCTCGCTCACCCTTCCTCCTTTCTTTTCTCTTTCTCTCACATTAAATTCAAGAACCGGACTGGTATTTTCTAAATCTGCTTGACCCTAGGGAAACCCTTACGAGAATCTGGATAGAGGGGTTGCTGGTGTAGTTCCAGGGAACCCTGGCTGTGACAGCAGACCTACCAGAAGCAGTTGCTCCCACGATCCCTCTCCACATCAGATATGTGGCTCTGTGCTGTGGCTTAGGCCCCTCTCTGTTATCCTAGTGAAGTTCTTTGGCGCCAGTTTCACAAGCTGGGGCAAACTGGTAAGACAACTCCCCGTTACCAAAAGGAAACACATGCTTCCCTTCCCTACCTTACTTTAGGCTGGGACTGCAGCCTTTTAGACTCTTCCACACCATTTCTATTGCTAAAATGACTGAATAAATGTGGTAATTCAGAAAAAAAAAAAGATTTAAAATGACTTCTACAGTCATAAGGATGTTAGGAGTGCCAGGGCTGCTGTAAAACGGCAGAATAATGCAACTAGGAGCAGAAGGGGGAGGGAAGGCAGCAGAGCCCTCCTCTCTTTCTGACAGTAGAAAGAGAGAGACTGCTCACTGCCTTGCTTGTGAAGAGCTGCTGTCCACTGCCAGGGGAAAAACTTACCTGCGGTGCTGAAGGCTAGACTGGACAGAGAAGTTTTTCTTGAATTAATCAGGTCTGTGAACAAAGCCATTTATTTTCCTTTTTTTTTTTTTTTACGCATAGTAATCATACAAAGTAGGATGAATTGATTACTCTGTCACAGTGAAAGGCAGCCTAAATTTCCATTCACTGTCCAAGCACCTGCATACATGCAGCATTACTAACTACAATAAAATTGTTTACGGATAGGTTTGTTAATGCAGACTGGGAAAGCAGCACTCCAAAGCACAAAAGGGAGCTAAAGAAACTTCTGCACCCACCATAATGTCTGGCAATAGCCCAGGGACTTTAGAATTACAGCGCCAAGGCTTTAGTTGTCCAAGACACATACAGTGCTACTTTCCAAGGATTCAGACAACGTGAGCGGTGTTTTAGCTATATCTGTTCAGTGTTCTTAAACACCAAAGAAGAAATTCTATTTTGTTTCCCTTGCTGGTAAATCAAAGCTCTTGGTCATACTTACATAGATCAATGAGAGACCACAGTCTATGAGAACCCATCTAGACTTGCTTCTGGTTTGGCTTCTTAGGGCTTGGTAAACATTGCTAAAAAGCAAAGCTTCCTTGTGCTTACGCAGGCGCTGCCTCGCTGAAGCTGGGAGAGAGGAAGAGTCGGTTCATTTGCACACCTTAAGATGATAGAGTACCTCAACCTGCAAGTTCTGTCCCTCTGTCTCTGGCCTCAGTTGGAGTTTTGATATTTCTGTATATTGGATAATGTTTTGTAAAACCTAATTATATGTTCCTTTCCAAAATTGCTACTTGCAACTATTTAAATATTGTACTTCTGTGTTCCAAGTCTTGTGTGTAAACCGCAGGCATTGGTTTCCTATACATTTATAGATAAGGGAAAATACAGATGTGCTGTTTTTCTTGGTGTTGCAGTTGTTTCACTAGAGGCAGACTTTTATGAATTAAATTAGTCTTAGCAGATAATGCTCTGAAAAGGCTGAAAATCAGGAAGAGGGCATATATCAGCCCTTCTCCTGGTATGTGGAAGATTTCAACAGGCAGATGAGGGCAAACTTGATGTTTTTCTATTTACAGTGACAAGATACATAACACATCTGTTGAGTTCTATGATCTTGTACTCAGTGATATTGCTATAAATTTGTCTTGCAGCTTTAAGTGTAACCTAATTGAAGCCAAGGTGGTTTTAAAATTGCTTTTCCTTTTCTTCAGAGTCAATTTTGTACTTTTTTAAGAAATGATCTCCCCATTTCCCGAGTCATCCTTTCCCTGCTGCAGAGGACGCAGCAGGCCGAGCAGTGCCCGTTGCCTCAGCACTGGCTGCCCAGCCTGCGCCAGGGCACAGGGGCTGCTGCCCCAGCTGGGGCCCGGCGGTCCCTGCGGAAACGGGCAGCTCCAGGGGCCCTGCGCTCCCCTTCAAGCAGCACCTTTCCCAGGCACAGAAGGGAAGGGGCAGGGCCGAGGATGGAGGTGGGGAGGCTGAACTGCCTCATATGCTCTTAGTTCTGAATAATTTGTAAAAGTGTTCTATATTTTGTAAATTTTTTAATGTGTTAAAACTTGTTAAAGGAGGTAACATTTGCAAATAAGGGGTAATTTGTGTATTTGTTTTTGTATTTTGGTCCGGTGTTCCTTTTTTGTTGTTGCATCCTACGTCCACTGGGCAAATAGTTGTTAAATCTTTATATTAAAACAAATAAATGCATTTTAAGGAATACTGTACAGTTTTGTTATTATTCTAGGTATATACCAGGCACTATGTATCTTGCTTATGACTCCTGAAAACTAGTAAACTGAACTTCCCACTTCAGTTTGTAAGGCTAGTAGAATCCTAAGAGGCTTTGAATATTTGACAGATACCATATCAGATAAGAACATGGATTCTACTCCTAAGCTGTCTGTAATGCCAGGCCTGGTCTGTGCCACATGTAGCCATTCCTACAAGTAAAAACAATGATTATCAGGAGTTCTGGATAGTCTAAGCATTAAGTAGAACTTACATCTCATATCTGGCAATTGTTACAAGAGAAACCTGAGCCTACCTTCCTGATAGATCCTCTGATCCTTGCTTAAATATTTCCTGTCCATATCTTAAGGATAAAAAGCCCAGGGAGGAGTACCTCTCTCTGTATTCGCCCTTCATTTGATTGTGCTTGAAATCTGAAAGTAAGAGATAATTTCTGCGCTACTACTTGCACTTGGCACAGCTTTGGTAGAGAATGTTACATAGTTCCTGTCCTGTGTCACTTCAGTAGAAGAACAGAGTACAACAGAACAAGTACTTACACTTTCAGCCTAAACTTTTGTCCAGAAATTACTCTGAGGTACAGAAGTCATCTCTCTAATGCACCTCAAGTATTTCTGACAGTAATTAAAGGGCCTTTAAGTATACTGCAACAGTGTTGCTGTGTTGCACTGTTGTCCTCGGACCAGCCAACATCTAACTATATAAATTTCTTGACAGCCATTCCTGGAAAGAGAAAATATTGAATATCTTACATGTGAATATTCAAAATATTGAATACGAGTATGGAGTATGAATGATACAATAAGCTCCAGTCAGAAAGGTATGTGCATTGTAGAAGGCTTTCAGCAATCTGGGATCAGAATCAATTCCCCAGCTTCATTTCTCTGTAACAATGTAAAGTCTGATAAAACAGCTGGAACAGAAATCTGGTATAAAGTGCTTTATGGAAACCTGAGGACCACTGAGGGATTTCTTTATCCACTTGTTGCTGTCAGTTATTCTCTTAAATCTCCCTTCAACTCCAATTCTTAAGGCAGCCTTGCACTGTTTAATATCAACGCAGGTAAGTTGCCACCAGCAGGAAATACTTTGTAGGAAATTTCATTAAGTCTAAATTGCCTACATCACAGTGGACTGTAAGTTCGAGATAGCTATTTATCAAATTCAGACTAAAATCTGTAACATGCTAATATTTAAGTTATTTACTTAAGTAGCTTTTCCCCTGCAGAGCTAATTTTTATTTTCCATGTAGAAGCTTCAAGCAAGTGGAGTAATATCTGTATCAGTCCTCAATGCTGAAAGGGTACATAGATATTTTAGTTAGCATTTTTAATAAAATCTTGTAATACCTTAAAATTATACTTTCTACTGTGAAAATAATATGAATAAAGTATACTGAAATTATTTACTCAAAGATATTATTGGATATAAATTTTGCTTTAACTTAGTATTATTTATCTTGTTGAATAATGTTCCTATTGTATTGCAGGGATGTGCATCAGTCACACTCATCTAACTGGTGCTGTATTTTTAAAAAGTTTAACCACTTCCAACTCTCAAAGAGTAAGGGAACTAACAATGGACATAATTCAGTATTTAAAGTTAGACATAAAAAGTATAAAACTGGACCTGAAATGCTGATATAAGCTGGAGTGTTCAGTGACTCACTTCTGAATTAGACTGCAAGCTGCACCTGTCCAATTTGTTCCTACAGTAGGGCAAAATGAAAAGACTGAGTTAATCACAGGGAAATATTCCTAGCATCATTAGCATCTGAAATTAGTACTAATTTCAGATGTCAAAACCAGAAACAAACAACTTATCAAGTCACACAATTAAGGAGAGAAACATAAAAAGAAATGGTTATTCTTTTTCCTTATTTTATTGGATAAATGATTTAAAAGGTAATAACAATAGTGTTAAAACTACTACAATATCTTTCCACAGCCATATCTCACAGACCCACAGATAACCTTCTATTTTTTTTTTTGTTTTTTTCTCCTCATTTTTATCTTTTTAAGCCATACTTATATTAAAATGCCCATTTCAACAGTTTCTTCACACTAATAGCAATTGAATGTGGAAGGAAGGAGGATCTAGTTATAAAGGAAAGGGTTTTGGGTAATCTGTGATATCGTAATCAATCAAGTTGCTAAGGAAGGAAAAGAGAGAGGCCCAACAAGCTACTCCAGGTAGCTTTAAGCCTATTGTGTCACCATTGCATTATAGATAACTCAAGATGCTGGTGAACAAAGTAATTTTTTTTGTAACATATAAAACACTAAAATAACTTAGAAACTAGATCCAAATATTTTGAAAAGAATCAACTTTGATATACAAAAACAGTCATAAGTTGTTACAAAAGTTTCAAACAAAAGTTTGTTTTCTCAGTGCGTTTATGTACCAGCACAATTACTGGGTCCAGAGCAAAGAAAGAGGTTTTTATTCTTTATTTTTTAACAGTAATAAAAAACGAGGAAAACATATCTTTGTATATAAAGAATCATTGCTGGTCTTAAGAATAAATGTAACCAGAAACCCTTAAATCTTAGAGGCACACTTTGGGTTTCCTTTTTTTTTTTTTTTTTTCCTTTTTTTTTTCTCCAACATAAAAGGAAAGTCACCAGTTTATTTAAATGGAGTAGATACTCAGACTCCCCAAATAAACTTAATTCAATTAACATCACTAGCAAAAATCAGTTAGAAACTGTACAAAAATAAAAAAGTTAATACATTTAATCCTGCAGGGATTTTGTAAGGACTGGAAGGCAGGCTTTAGGAGCAGCATTTGGGCATGGCTGGAGGCTTCTTTGGTTCGATCTAACACACACAAGAGATGTAACCTACTCCAGACAAGAATTTTAAAAACCTGCACATCTGAAGACGAGCAAGGAGGGCTGTATACAAATGCCAGGGTGTGCCAGGGGATTTCACTGTCTTGATTAAGTAGCAGCAGACCTGAGGTGGGAACTCGGGTGCCCTCCCCTGCCACAGGCAGCACTGGCATTGAGCTGGGGCAAGGCTGGTGCTGCAGCGGTCACCAGAAGGAAGCAGGGCCAAGGAAGAGTTTCACAGCATCTCTAGGGGCTTGCTGCCTAACTCAATTTAACAACATGGGTTTGGGAGAAGTTAAGCAAAAGAATTAAAAGGAAACTCTTTTAATGGAGTAAGGCAAACTGATTAGTGCTCACTGGAAGTTAGCGTTCCAACTTAAAAACAGTGGTGAAACAGGCTACTCGGTTGTACCTTAACTTCTTATAAAGTACCCCAAATAATGAAAAAAATCTCTACCTGAAAGATAATACTTTCTATCTGAAAGGGCAATAAACATAATTAAGGGGGAAGTGACATTTATGAAAGCGTTTCTTGATCAGCTTTAAGCAAGCAGACCTATTCTGTCCCAGTGCATGTCACAGTGAACTGTGCATTTTGTACAGAGAAACCCACAATTACACAGAAACAATCTGTAGCATTCTCAGCAATTGCATGCTGAGGAGGTAGGTGCCCTAGAAACACTGTAGATAGACTGATTATTCTAAACATTTTTATAAAATATAGCATACAAGTCTGATTGACTATAGACTTTATAACAGATTTTTTAATTAGTGATAGCAAAACTCTGGTCCAGAAGGGTCTGGCATTACTCCCTTTCAAAAGCACACCTTTACAGGTTGTATAACACCCTTTACACTATATTTTTAAGCAACAGCTACTGAAAGATAGACAAAAATATGTTGTGCATTATGCTGTATACAAAAAGGAGACAAAACTATCCTTTTCCCCCCCAAGCCATGGTGGGAAGTATTGCTGACCTTGTCCTTAAAAACCTGCAGGATTGTTTATTCATCAGTATATCATTATTACACTGGTAAGAAATTCTGTATAACATCTGCATATATCGAAGATCTTTAAAAAATCTGATATGATTTTAGATCCGCATGACCAGTCACGTGACCTGCTTGAGGTTGATTAGCACCTTTCAATACATATATATTTTTATATATAATAGATCTTTTTTAAAAAACTTCTAACAATGAGCTCCTGTAGAAGCACGAGCATGCTGTAACGAGATGACAGATAAAGATGGGATTGGATGACTTTTTTTGCAGCAGACAATATGATTCAGTTTGTGCTCAGTTTCCCCATAAGGGCAAGGAAAAAAAAAAAAACCCAAACCAAAACACCTCTGTCAGGTAGACACTTGTCCAGATTTCCCACTTGAAGACTAACCCATTTTAAAACGTTCTCCAAGTAGAAACACAACAGTATCATCCAAAATAGCCTCTATATAAACATCTATTTATTTCTGCAGCGTCTGCCTGGCATCCTCTTGGCTCCTGAATTTTCAGGCCCTCTGTTTAGTTATAAATTAAGGCATCACAACTGAAAGTGTTAGTATTTGGACATCAAATGCTGTGGATGAAGGAATACCATAGACCTTCTATAAGAACCTCTGTAAAAATTAAGTAGCAAAGCTAACCTCACATAAGGGACGAGCATAATTTATCCAAATATTTTTGAAACACTGAAACATTTTACAATTAGTCTGGCATTTGTTGCATCTTAATTTATCTATTTCAATTATCTGTATTTTTTACTAATATTTGTTATGAAGTAACTTTTCTCTGCTTACTGCAGTTTACCCACCCATATTAGGAAGGTCTTTTCTATAATTGAAGGGATGTGTTGACCCCTAGCATACGCACTGAACAACAGGTATTCGTGGGAGTTCTGCAGGCACATGAGCAAGGAGCTAACTCCGAGCATGTACTGGGCTTGCAACGATACCACACATACCTCTTTCTATATCCTATTTTTACAGCTGTAAAAAGTTCCAATCAGTTTTCTTTCTTCTAACTTGTGGAGAGGTATCAGAAATATTATACAGTACTTAGAGCTCTCAAGTACTATTCCTGCAATAGATGAAAACATGTAAATTATGGCATATGTGCTGTGCTCTTTCATAACACAAACATACATTAAAAAAAGTTTACTTTTATCAAACTATACTTTGATATAACTCAGTAAGTCCAAGAGAAAAAGAATGAACAAAAAAGGGAAGGTAGGACTTCCAAAATAGGTTTGATTAAAACAAACCGAAAACAAAAAAAAAACAAAAACAAAACAAAAAAACAAAACAAAACAAAACAAAAAAAAACCCCACCACCCAAAACCTAAGAAACCTGATGCCAGATCAGCAGAGAACTCAGTATAGTTTGCTAGAATATCTGGCACATTTGCTATATTTATTTCTATGAATTTTATATATAAGTATATAGTTATGTCATAGTCAAAGGCACTAAAATCTAAATCCATTTTCTTCCTAATATGACATCTGCTACTCACCAACCTGTTTTTAAAAACCAAGGTGACTCCTAATCTGAGATCCTCAGAAAGGCATCGACTCATTACAGCTGCATTACTGTGACTAGTCAAGCCAGGGCTGAAGAGCCCTTGCTTCCCAGAGTGGGATGGGAAATCTACTAGCCTAATGGGTTTATGCCATGACTGAAAATGCTTCCATATTATCATTACCTCTCACTGTAGATATAACAGCTTCTCTTCATCCCAAATAAAGCTTTTTGTATGTCACCCTGCAAGTTTTGGCTGTGTGTGCTGGGTCTGAAGATCATGTATATAGCTACATGAAAGCTTGACTGCAGGGGTGAGATAGTGCACACTGACATTATTACGAAGGTTATAAGAATGCAATTCATTGTCTAGTTTAATACCTGAATCTGATATGTTTCATTCCCTGCTACAGCTATTAATGTAAAAGCCATAAATGCCTCTTTTATTTCTGAACGAAGAATGCCTAACTGTAACCCTTAAACTCTTTCCTTCCATCCACAGTCACAGAAAGTCTTGATTGATATAATTCAATGTTAATGAAGTAGAAATTTAAAATTTCATAAAAATCCCAAGGGCTATATGCTGCAAAAAAATCTGCAGTGACTCAGTAAACAACAACAAAAAAAGTATGGGATCTTTGTAATAATGCAGTTTTCCCACCCGTTGCCACGATGAGCTTAACCATCTAAGGAGAAGCCTCAACACGGCAACGGAAACTATCATCATAAAATGGTACAGTAATAGAGATAGCTAGACCAAGAAGGGGCAGGGTCTCCTGGGAAGAGGTCTGCAGAGAGGTCCAGTGACTGGTCATGCGGCTCAGTGTCAGGAATAATGGTTGTACGGTGGAAGGGGGTGCCCAATGCCGTTTTGGAAGTGATGATGCTGACGATGGGCAAGGTACTCTGTGTAGCTCATGGTCATCTTCTCACTACGGTACCTAGAAAGGAGCAAAGAAGCAAATTCAAGAAGTTTCACTACGAAGCTCTGAGGAGCATTAGAAATACACCACTAGTTGTGTGCTTAACAGTGACAACAGCTTTGTACTTCTCATGTTAGAAATAAGACTAGCCTCAGCTGCACAAAGACAGAAAATAGATCACTAGTTTTCAATGTAGTTATTCTTAAAACAAATTACTTAAGTCACAGCCTAAGTGATTATATAAAGATGTTTTAAAATACAGAACTGTTACAAACTATTACCTATGACATCACTTGAGATAGAAATAACATAAACCGATGGTGACTTGTTAAGAATGTCCCATAACCTCAGCGAGCTCTCTACACTAGGCCTAGCAGGAAAAAAAAATGAAAACATACCACAAATCTCTAGACTTTTAAAATATATATCAGTTGTCTGCCAAATTCTACTTTATTAATAATTGCAGCTCTATCAAGTACACTAGTATCCTTTTTTGACTATATAAAAGTAAAGCAAGATCCTGCTCCCCAAAGCTAACATTCAGGTTAAACTTAACATCAGTGCTGTTCAACAGCATGGAACATATTGCCACAACTACACTCACCTGCAAAACCAAAACAATGCTATTCTGCATTTCCACAACTATCATCTAGAAGGAACACTGCCATCTCCTGTTTGTTAGATCTCTTCTCTGGAGTCCTCCTTGTTGCTCCCTCCCCTTTTCAGAGCTGAGAGGTCTCAACAGATGCCTCCAGAGCTCAGCACAGCCCAGCACAAAAGCTGAAACCATGTTCGGGTGCAGCAACTGCAGCAGCTCAGGTAGCAAACACACCTGCTTCTGTTGTTCTTTTCTGGGGGAAACATCTTGGTCAGCACAAAAGAACAAAACACCTTGCACTTTTTGCTTTGGTGGCTGTGTTTCAGAGTACCACGGAGTCCACATTTACCTAATACAACACTGTTTGCTAACAAAGAACTGATTTAACAGTGGCCAGTGACTCCAGCTAAGCTTAGCTTCAGCTCTTGTGGAACTGATGACTGGAACGGGGCACTCACTGCACTTGATGTATAAGCTGGTCTCTGAATGAAATCCCCTGCCAAACTAAACCGTGAGCTCGGCAGTTAATGAAGCTGTGTGTAAATGGGTCAAAGCAGGCTAAGGGCAGCCTGCCTAGAATCACAGCTGCTCACTTAAGGAGATGAGAAAGAAAATGCAGCCATCCTAGAAAATTAAGTCAATGCATCCATGCAGTCTGTGACATTAGGCATCGGGTGCACAGCTTTGCTACTGAGAATGCCCTGCCACAGTCAAGCAGGTAGCTCACTAGCAGGTGGAAACCTGGCCCATGCTCCCAGTGCCACCAGAAGAAGTAAAACAGAGGGGGCACCTTCTCGGAGAACCGACTGCTGGTCCCAACCAAGGGGCCGCCAGGACCTGACAGCAGCGGCCCACAGTACTCTCAGATATGGGCTGCCAATGGCAAGTCATCCTGCTGACCACAGGCCCTGCAGACCCATCACAGCCAATGAACACACCAGGAAAAGAGAGATCTAAGGCCGTGCTAAGATCTTCCAAAGCTGTCACATTACAGTAACAGTGTGAAATGAAATACGCAGGCAGCCTGATACATGTGCAGCCTGTATTTAATGTCAGTCTGCTCTGCCTTGCTTAGTGCCAGCAATCCCCATTATAATTAAAACAAGCATCTTCTCAGAAGTCCACACTGCTATTGCAGAAAGAAAGAAGTTAATATATGCAAGAATGGTTACTGTTGACATTTGAAATGGCCACTTACCACAAATGAACATATCAAGGTATTACAAAAGTAATTTCTTTGTAGTACTCCGTAATACACACCTGGTTAGCTTTATGGTTTTCCTGAATTCCTTAGTAATTGGAGCTTTGTAGCCTCCTTTTCTCAATAAGGAATCTATGGTCTGAATGTGGTCCCACCCTGTTGAATTTTACAGCAAAAAAGTTAGTGAAAAATATTGTGATAAGAACAGATGTTGTAAAAAAACATAGTATGCAAGTGCTTGGCTGAAGTTCACTTTAAACACACAAAACATTCCCATCTGCCTAAGATGCACAGGATTTCTTTCTAAATCAAATTTGCTGTACAATTGTGCATCTTGCAGCTGATTTTAAATAGAGATCCACTACAATCCAGTTTTCCTGGATTGGGTGTTATATACAAAATTATACTTTTCTGAAATGTCTTACACTTTTACGATCGTGTCTTACTATCACTTTACACATTATAAATGGAAACCACACTATGAAAAGTTAAACTTTAATCTGAAATACAGTTTAAAAACTGGCTGAACACATGCAAAGGACTTGGAAACTTGACTCTGCCATAAAAATAGCTATTAACTTTGCAGTGATAATTCCTACTTCAGGATTACTATACCATGTTATGGGCAGCTGATTAATAAAAATGATTCATTAAAAATTAGACAGAATTTAGGTTCATTTCTGTTCTCAAAGTCTTCCTGCTATTCCAAACTTTTATATATATTGATTTATAGAAGTCTAATACTTCAAGATAGCAGTTAGACATGGTTATTTCCAAATGCACACCATAATTAGATTAGTCGTATCATTGCATTAAAAAGAAAGAAAATAAAACAACAGAATAATTTTGGGTGCCACAAAGATTCAGATCATTATGTATGGTCTATTAAGACTATCCAGACATTTTTAAACTGTTGACTTTTATGAAATCTCCAGTAAGTGATCATCAAGGGTCTTGACAAAAACACTTCTTTAACTAGCAAAAAAAAAAAAAAAAAAAAAAAAAAAAAAAAAAAAAAAAAAAAAAAAAAAAAAAAAAAAAAAAAAAAAAAAAAAAGCCATGGAAATCTTCTAGAATTTTAAGTGACCAGTTAGGGAGATACTTATTTATTAAAGAAGATCTTTAGTGAAGATTTCATTGTGTTCTTTTGCAGATCAAATTTGAATATAGAGAAATAAAAATCAAACAAACAAAACAAAAAAGACAAAAAAGCCACAGAAAAACACCCCAGCAGTGCCAAATTTAAAAGATCGAGACACACTGTCAAACCTGCAAGAGAAAAAACATTAGCGCGCAGTCCAAGTTAGCTGCTGAGCACATCAGCTTGCTATTCAACAAGCCTAACCTGGGCAGTTCTTTCAATGCATGAGCTTAAGTGTGTGCCTCTATTAAAAGGACACTTTTATAAATAAGACATTATTTGGGCTTTCCTTATTAAATCAATTCTTTTCTATCTACCCAAAAGAACCCAGGAAGCTGATGCTTTTAAGTGGGATTAAGTAGCAGCAGCAAGAGAGAAGACAACTTTAGCACTGCAAGTTTAGGAATAAATAGGCTGTTAAAATCCCTATCTTACTGCTTAATTAGAGGAGTTTCTGCAAGCCACTTCTAACACAACGTGACAAATATGTGAATATCGGTAGCTTTAAAAATGTAATAATGCTCAACAGCATTTATCACCCACTCCATATTTCATTCCATGCATAGCTACATTGCATTTATGATTTGTGTAAAAAAAATATAAACAAAAAGAAGCCCACACTGCTGCAACTAACCGAAATCCCTATACGGGGATTATTTATACAGACATGTAATTTGCATTTTATAGAAGAGTCTTTTCTTACAATTAAATATTGCTCCATCATCTGACATCAGTGCAAGGTCAAATATTGCATTTTAGATTTATACGTATGTTTAAATTCTTCACCAGATCATATGAAATAAAGTGCAACAATGACCTTGCTCCTTTGCAACCTCCGGTAAGTAGGTGGCGGTGCGTTTTGATCCTTTTTCATTGATGAACTCTATTCTAATGCCATGTACACCCACCTGCAAGAAATGGGCAGTTTTATTAGTACATAAAAAAAAAAAAAAAAAAAGGAAGAAAAAGAAATAAATTTTTAATGCAGTAAGGCCCAGAACGTGAACCTTTTGGGGGTTGATCCCCTTTTGGGATAGTAGTGTTAAAACATGGTGCGGAGGTGAATTTAGTCCACCTGAGAGCCTTGAAACCAACAGCAGCACAAGCATCCTTGTGACCACGCAGCAGAGCCCGCAGCTCTGGCCCGTGCAGGACGGCCACAGGGCTCCTGCATCCCCACAGCGGCCGCAGCACCGCTGCTCCCCTGGCCCCCGGGGTGGCTCGGGACCACCCGCTCTGTCTCACAAGCGGGAAAACAGCCAGCAAATCTAAGGGCTTCAATTATGAGCCACAGTTTCATCTGAAGTCACAAGCTAATGGTGAGACACTTGGACACAAATCTCCCACATGCAGTCCTGAAGATTTCTGCATAGGTGCAGGGAGGCAAAGGAGACCCACCCAAAGAGCCAGAAGGACGGGCAGCTTCACGCTCCCATTGCCATGAACTGTCCCCACAGGGAAGGCAAAACACCTAGTTCAATGTTCAGTGGCCATGGGAAGAGGCTGGGCACCTCTGCTGAGGGTGCTCAGGCCCCACGTGCAGCATGCGAGGTGCTGAGCCAGGAGCGCAGCGTGAGGCACCTTCCCCTTGCAGGGCACCTACAACAGCATGCGAGCACGTGCGCATGTACATCAGCTGCCTCACGGTTTTAGTTCCCTATGCACATAACTCAGACTCAATTTCTATTTACATCCTGAAGTTCTTGAGTGCGTGTGGAATTGCTTATGTTTTCAGGAGTATAACATTATTTAGTTATTGCACTTTTTTCTGAGCACAGAATTAATCAATTGCCTCAAAACTGCTGCAAGATTTTTTCCATTTTCCACCCTAGCTGCGTGACAGCCAGCAGCAGATAAGGCACATTTGAAAAGCTCCACACAACCTCTTGTTCAATGGTGACCATAAGCCAGAGTTAAAGAGGCTTCGTGGGATATGGCTCAGTTACGGCAATTTACATGTTCTTATTTGGGCTTCCTAAAGAGACTCCTGGGACATTCCCAATAATATTCTCACACGTGGAAAGGGCAGCATCACGTCCAAAAGACATCATGAGCCTGAAACCGGCTTGCCTGCCAGGCTCAGCCCAGGACTTAGCTGCCCCCAGTCTGTGGTGAGCTTCTTAAATTAAATAAAATCGCTGATTTAGTAGGTATTACATATCAGTCAAGTGTGCATGGAATAACAACATCTGTGCAGGGCAGAAAGACAGGCTGAGCAAGTCTGTTCTTCTGCAGATGAGTTCCAGCCCCATCTTGCCCATTACCATCTACCAGGGCAACGAGCACACTCGGATCGTGCTGTGTTGCGAAGCTTCGCACACCTCCTGCTCCTGATGTGCCCCACGAGCGGGGGATGCATTTCCCATGCATGGGAAGCCAAACAAGGAGAGCCAGCCAAAAAGGCAGCAGCCAGCCTGTTCCAACAGAAGTATCTCTACAGGATTTTACAGAATAGAGTAATACTGGGATCTAAACATCTTGTCCCACTGTATAAGAAGCCAGAGATTACTTAAAACTGGGTCCAGAGACTACATTGATTCAAACACACAAATCTTTCACTAATCTGAGGATTGCATGAAATTATGTTTTTCAATTTCACTTTTTAATTGACTTCAACACAACCTCAGATTTTGCTTTATGAAAGCAGGTAGCAAAGTACAGGCTAACACAGGACTGAAATTTTCCATACTGATTTGCATTCTGCTTAGGCATTTCTTAGAACAGTTTACAAATCATTAACACAGGCAGTTTGATACCAAAGTTAGCTATTAGCATGGCAAGAGGACCAGATCCAAAAATTTTACATGTGTTATTTTGTCTCAGGATAGGGAAAAGAAACACACCTCATATTTACTGTTCTGGCAGCTGCTGCTGTCTCTGGATGGTTTACTGCGGACCGTACGTACCAACCATGCTAACATCAAGCTTAGCCCAGATCCATGCCGGGATCTAAGCTCCGAAGCGCTGCAGCTCTAGTGCCAGCTTCCTCCTCAAAGCTCCAAGCAGGGTTACAAACCTCCTCTTGCACCAATGTCTCAGCTGGACTCAGAGGAAGAAACAGTGCCCACTGCATGAGACTGTCAGCTGGGAATTGCGCTGAGCTAAGCTAATCCTTATACCAATTCACTGCTCATAAGCTCAGGTTTTGAACAGCAATAAGCTATAAAGATGTTAAAGCAATAAATTAAGTCTTTAGCATGTACGGGATTCCTTCTGATAACAGGGAGAAGAGCTTCCCTTTTATTTACTTCAGCTAGTACTACAGAAACACCAGTACACAAACATCCAGAATTGGATTCTATGATTACCACATACTAGTCACTATGTTAGCTGAAATTTGCAATTTCTTAGCATCAAATTTGTAATAAAGATGCTGCCTTCATTCTGATGATATTTAATAGAGCTTTAATACTGAATTCTGCTTTAATCAGATGCAAGTGGCTCTTCTCCAACTCATGACGTGCTCTTTTTTTTTTTCACCCTTAAATAAATCATTTATTGACATATATGGGTTCACTGAATACTGCCCAAAGGACATAAGTTAGAGATGACAGAGATGAAGACTATTCCTTTCTGTTCTAAGAGAACAGGCAGTAAAAGTTGCTGCCCTTTTCAAGGGTCCAGAAGAGGAATGGAAGAAATCCCACAACTCTTAAATGTCAATCTTTGCCAACAACAAAAAGGCACCTTCTGGGCATCATTACTGGCTACAGCCATTCAAGCTAATATTTAAACCAGCACACACAGGCTTTTGTCTCAACAGTGCAAACATGTACAACTCTGCAGACTTATTTTACTGAAGAAAAGCAACTTGAAGGCAAACAGCTCTTCTGAGGTATTTTAAGAAGCAGCAGCTTCTGGGCATTTAGTATCAGTTCTAGGTATTCATTACCCCACAGGAACTATAATCATGTCTTCTAAAAACTTTCCTCTTACAACAATTCCAACCCCTTATAACGCTGCAATAAGAAAACTGGAGAGAAAGGGTCCCGAATCAGCCAGATAGGCTTTACCTTGTCGTGCAAAAGCACACTCTTGGTGAAATGAGTGAGAAAAGGGATAAAATAACAGGTGCTCATTGACAATAACATGAGATCAAGAGACACAGAGAAGTAAAAACACTTTTGTATTTGCACATGAGAAAATAAATAGGTGGATCAGAGATACGAGCACAATTTGCCCTCGTGAGGTGCCTCATGACAGACTGGAGTCCCAAGATGGCCCCAGGCAACTCGACACAGGACACGAGCACCCCGGGCCTCAGCTGCTCCCAGGAGCCCATTTCATGGGGATGGAAGGGTTGTGACACCCACCATCATGGTTATCACCTGGACCACAGCAAAATGATTTCACAGCTGTGTGTGGCAGCTCCTGTGCTTCTGGGCTGTCAAAGCCTCCAGCCTGGGCAGCGGTGCTGCACAGAGCCCGTCACACACAGGCACAGGTGACTCGGAAACCTCAGTTATGTTTTAGGAAGTGTCTTCATAACCCACTGTGCTGAAATGGTCTTTTGAAAGCAACAAGGAGAAAATACAAACCTTCAAAAAAGGTGAAAATGGCAGCAATTTGAAAAATCATATGGGAGCTAATGGCAGTCAATTCACTCATGCCTCCTATTTACTTGGCTGTAGGCCCTGCAGCTAAAGGATCTCTCATTGCTTGATGCAACTGAAATACTCATTTCTTCCATTTGGGCATCAGTTCAGAGATAGGAAGAGCTCTCACTCTGCTTCAGGATACAGACGCCACTCCTGAGCCACATCTTCAAATGATCTTGTCCCTAGAGCACTACAGGTTGGCTGAACCTGCAATTTTGAATTATTCTGACCTCCATCAGCAAATTGCTGAATTAGCTCCCACAAGATCATCAGTAGCATACCTACAGAAGCAAGGTCTCCTAACCAGGCTGATGCTTTTCAGGATGATCTGGAAATTAGCATTATACCAGACGGCAGATGCAGAATCTCTCTTTACGTCATATTCTAGCCATCCTGAAATGTCTTTTTGCCATTAACATTGCATAACTGCAGCTCCCTTAAAAGAAACATGGATGACATAAGCTCTCACTGACAGGGGCACAAACAGTGGTGAATCATTCTTTTAAGGACTAACAATGACAAATTCTCTCCTTCACATTTATTTATTCCCCCCCACCTCCCAATTTTGCACGGAAATCTTGCATGCTATCTATGATACAATCTATATATGATACAATCACTTCAAAAGCATGCTTAATCTGTAGGAAGAAAAAAGAAACAAAATAAGGCATGAAAAAGGCAACCGCTGTGCCCAAAAAGGAGGAGGAAATTGTAATCACCTCTTAAAATCTGTAGCAATTTGCTGAAGGTTTTAAAAGCCTAGTATTAAAAAGCTTTACATGAAATGGGAGAGAGTGACCAAGCCAATGAATAACATACAGACTATTTCTGACCCTCTAAATTCCCCCAATAAGTTTGGCTTCTCCTTGAGATGCCAGGAGGGGACGTTTTGCAGAAGTTACATGAGCAAAGTTACATTTCTGTATTAAGTTCCATAGATTAAAGTTTCAAGTGTTATAAAATGTGTTTCCTCTGCTGTTGAATTTTGAAGAATTCTGCCATAAGATATAAAAAATAAAATCATCCGTTTCATATAAACACTACAGTCACAAAATAAGAGTTGGTCTCCAAGGAACAAAGCTAAGATCCTGTCTTTTCAAGGAAGAGTTGATTTTCCGAGCTCAGATTTTGATTTCAGGTTTTAAAGGATGAGTATTTTGGTCATCTTAGGAGTTTATTATTGAGAGAATAAAATAACATTAAATAATACCTTACACTTCTACAGACAGTCTTATTTTTAGTAAATTTAATTAAATTGTTGCATCCAAAATATCTCTATGATAAGTACTAAAAATTAACCTAGTAAACCAGAAAGTCTAGTCTTTAAGGTTTAAAAAGTCATCATAGTCTTGAACAGTTGAGAACATGGTTTAAAACATACAGGTAATTCAGGGCCCAGAGACAAGATAAACAACTCCCCTGAAAAAAAGCTATTTTTTGATTAGAACACACCCAAAGTTTGAGCTTAGGCTTTTTTTTTTTTTTTCTGACATTAAGTGATTAGTAATTCTGTTTATGATGAAAATGCTGATTAATCCCCAAAGAAACCAACATTCCTCGTATTCTGCAGAAGCAATCAGATCAGCCTTTGTCAGGATGAGCTGAACAGAAAGTACAATTTTACTAAGTTTTCAAATATCGTAAAACAGATACTGCTGAGGTTATGGCTGCCGGGCCCCTTATTATTTTAACAGTGAACTCTTCCCATTCAAAATGTTTTTTTTTTGTCGTTGTTGTTGTTGTTGTATATACTCAACATTAGAGGTATTTAGAAGGACTAAGCTGTTATTAAAGAGTAATACTGGAACTTATGTGGCATCTCTGGCATTAGAACATGTTCCCATATATGATAATTTCAACCTTTTTTTCTTTATTTAAAAATCTGCTCTTATTATAGACCAAAAGCCATACTCACTATAACATGGTTTTTTTTTTTTGGAAAAATAAAAAAAAAGCATAGGGAAGGAGCATAAGACTAGAGCATAAGACTAGAGCATGAATAACACTTCCTTCAAGGTACTTTCTCAGAAGTAAGTCTGAAAGGAACATTTGCTTCTTCACCTGTGACTTTTATTCTGCTCTCCCAAGAGAATGAACACAGGATTCCCAGAACCAAGAAAGTAAAATAGATTCTGCACCAGTTGTAACTAGCAAAGAAAAACCAGAGCAGTGATTTACTTGGCCTAACTCCATAAGGAATTTGCGGGATCTGTGCTGGCCAGTCATTCTAAATGCAAAGACTTTGCTCGCTCCTGCAAGCTACATGAGATAGTTTGACATGGGATTTGGTTTCATTTTTTGCAGTGTATTTCTGAAGCATACATCAGGCTACTAGCTTTCATACTGGTAAATGCTCTTTCCCAACTCAATGGGCTGGCCCACCAGGTTTCTGCAGTTAGCTATGCTACAGGACAGGTTTAAGGACATGGTCAGTCACATGACACCCTGCATTATGGAGTCTTAAGTCAAAAATCAGCTGTGCAGGCCACTATTTTGATCATGTAAGTGGGCACAAAAACAACTTAATTTCATTTTTGTCACTCAGACGTCCAAGATGATGGCAATCTTAAATGATCTTTTGCACCTTTATAACAATTTGCAAAACAGTGACAACCACAGCAAATATATTCAGGTAATTTAAATGTTATGCTTGTTGCTGTATAAGGGCTTAAGGAATCAAAGTAATTTTCTTCAAGAACATCTGAAATCCTTACCTCCCAATCCATGTAGTCACATACATCTTCAAAGTTAGTGAGTAGAGACACTGAGCAGAAAAGCCGTGGCAGCTCATCCCTCGTCATTGGGGGGAAACGACTATCTTTAAGGGCACTGTTAAAGACAAAATAGAATTTCAAAGGGCTTTTTCTTTTTTTTTTTTTTTCCTTCTTTTCCTTTTTGTTAAAGTGGAAAGATCTAATGAATCAAATGCAAAGTACAAAGGACAAAAAAACACCCACAAAACAAAATCAAAAACCTGATGAAGTGATGACCACTCAGGTATTTCAGCTGTCAATGCAAAAATACATTCAATAACACTCAAAATTCTTTCCTTAAAAGTCTGTATCAGATTTCTTGCCTGGCCAGGCAATAGGCTAAGTCATCATTCCTACCTAAGCTTAACTTGATACTGTGATAACCTTATTAATGAAAAAAATGAAAAAGTTAAAAACAAAACAAAAAAAACACAGTCCTTCCTCATGAAATTTAGTATACACCTATCAAACAGGTTAAACTCCAGAGCACTGAACAGTTAGGGAACAGCGTGGGAAATTCTACAGCTTGCAAATCATCCAACCAGTAATGCAGTAATCAAACTATAGCACTTAATGAATCAAGAGATAATAATAAAAAAAGATAAAGCATAATATTTTACAAAAAGAGAGGCATAATCATGTTTACTGGTGAAGTTGAATATAAAAGGTACAAATACTGATGGGTACAACCACCTGTTGGCCTGCAGGGCTTGAAGCTGTTCTGCAAAGCAGAGGTGATGATTAGTAACACAGAAGCTCACAGACAGCTAAGGTACAATTACGTAGGCAAACACACACCTAATGAGGTAAAAAATGCAAAGAGAAACTATATCTACATACACCAAAGCTCCTTGACAAAGCAAAGACTTCACAGAGCCACAGTAAGCAGTACTAAGCAACAATAAAAGTCTGCAAGAATCTATTTGCCAAAAGTTTGGTTCAAGATCCCATTAAATTAGAAGGTGAAAGTTAGTGAGCTTGGAATCACATCACTGTTTAGAGTCTCTTTAAAGGCTGGGATATGAACACGATCACCTCAGGTCCAACAGAAGCAAACTGTAATCTGCTTACTGACCCTTTTGGCGAATGAGAAGAAACATCAAGAGACCTGTACAGTCCTACCAAGTTCTTAAGGGTCTCATTGCTTCATCTAACAGATCGGTCCTATCCCTGCGCCCTAGTCACAGTCAGATGTTGCCATCAGCTACTGCAATTCCAGCCAGGACCACGGTGCTCAGAATACAGCTGAGGTTCCAGGATCAGATGTAGTCGGTTGGCATAAGGAACAGCTTAACTTTATTAGGGCCAACCACATAATAAAGCATACAGGAAATAAAATGAAAGTCTAAGCTAGAGGAGATCATCATGTGTGTATCCAGAAGGAGCACGCCATCCTGCACCAGCGTCATGTGCTGTATAATTTAAACAGAACTTGTTTTGCTTGTGACTGCAAAAAAAGGGAACATACTCTTAGAATTAGTAGGGGCCTTCTCCAAGTTTTGGTATTTTCACACTGTGTTATTTCACACTGAGAACATAATTTGGGGGGATAATTCATTGTATAGTTACTTGGCTGCCAGTGGGTCTCCCCTTCCCAGTATTTGGGAGCAAAGGACACTCAGAGCAAAAATACAATTTGAGTTGTATCAACTCAAATCAGAAGTCTCTCTAGACCAGCATTAAGAATAACAAACAGTAGGTACCAGAAGTAATGAATGTAAGAGTAAACAAAACACTAAATATATACAGGGATATCGCTTTCCTGGAGATCTCCTGGAATACAGCTGCTTACAGTTTAGGGCTTTTGAGCCTCTACCTCTCAAAAGGTTCATTAAATAAAGAGCATGGATACATGTTCTTGATATTTCACCACACCTTTTAATAAAAAAAGTTATATTCAGAAACTTTTTTAAATTGATGTTTTGGTTGCAACAAATGTTATGCAAACAAAATCCACCACTCCTTCAAGTTTGCTTATATACAAATTTCTAATTTCCCTAAGACATGTATCTCTATCATACAATCAATCCATTTGAATACACTACCGAAAAGCTCTCAGAGACAAGCTTATTTCATTAACAAATTACATATTTCAGTTTGCAAAGTTGCCTTTGCAACTGCTGGGAACCAAAGTTACCCTTCCCCTTGCACAGTGTCTTGGAAAAACAGATATCAACAGGTACAACCAAGAGGTACTGCCTATACTTGTTTAAACCTATTTTCATTATTTATGCAACTATCTTTTCATGCAAAACATTTCCTTACTATATAAATACACCACCTTCAATTTATGCAGAAATACCTAACATACTGAGCCCAGGAGCATTAACAGCAAGTCTCAGGTTGAGCAGCTACCGTGCTCAAATGTGTTGATAACAGTCTGAAGGAAGATGGGTGCATCATGACATATTTGACCGTTGACAAAACTGCAATATGAAACTTTCATGTGAATACAGCAGAAGCAGAGAGGTGCATACGAAGGCAACAAAGCCTCGAGCACACACGATGAATAATATAGCTCAAATTCAGTGAGAGCAGAGCTATGCACCAGTACTTACCTGTGGAGCTAACAAGCTGAAGTGGCCAACTGCTTTACTCTGTAACATAAGGCTAGCACAAACACTTACTTTCATGCAGCTGCCTCGCATTAGCTAGCACACTGCCTTCAAACCATAGTGCGTGGCAGTTTTACCTGAAGCAATTCCTTCTCACTTGTTAGGTTTATTTTTACCTGCAAGGCCTGCTGGAGAACTGCTCCTCAGCACCTACATGGCTACATGCTCCGTGCACATATCTGGTGCACCGCTGCTGCCAAAGAGAAGTGAACTAGCTGGCGGAACGAGTTGATCGGAAATATGATTAGAAGTCTGGGATGTGACTGTGCCTGGTATAATACTCAATTGGTATAGGCTATTGCTGCTATTGTATCCCTCCTCCCTCTGTCTCCAGATCCCATATTACAATTTGTTTTCATCTTTTCAAACAGCTTCACCTTTATCACTATATAATTAAAACCAAAATTGATATGGGGAAATTTGTGCGGAATCAACAAGAACAAAAAGTACCAAAGGAAAGGCCAACATGGACCTGTTAATTACAGAACCTGTTATACAGAATACACAGAACAAGCCAACTATTCTGTCGGCTAATTACAATGTCTACACAATTTGCGCAAACAAATGTATCAGGTGTCAGATTTAAGAGACTGAGCTCAAATTTAACAATCCTGCCCTGAGCAGTATGATCCAGGTGCAGCCATGTGCTCACTGGCTTTGGATACCCAGCAATACCTTTGGAGAGGCCAGCAGATCCCACACTTGCCGAACAAAAGCAAGCTTGCATGAGCTTTCCTTTTTATTGTTCCTGCACTGGGAAGAGAATTTTGGTTTCTAGAGACAGCAGTTTGGCACTTATCAAACCCCAAATACATTATACAGAGACACAGGTATGTAAATGGGCACTTCTGCCTTGCTTGTCCTGGTAATATACCCCTTGGTGAGTGATTATAACAACAGACATAATAACATGCACCTAGTTTCATAAAAATTCATTACTATGCTTAGCTGTTCATATTGAAAAGTCACTGGGTTATTGCGCAGAGCCACTCTTTATTTGTATAGGATTCTTTGCTGTGCTATTTGATGGAAGCATTACTTCTGTACGACTATAGCATGTTTTTGTAATCTTAACTAAAGCCGTATTCTTTTCTTACATTTCCTGTTAGAAGGATAAAAGCATTCCATTTGGAGCACAGACCTGCACATTAAATAACAAGTTGAAAAAGGAAAAAAAAAAAAAAAATTCATGCCACAGCTTTTCTCTCAATTTAATTAAAACTTAATTTACCAAGTATTTCTACTTCACTCTTCTTTTAGTCTAAATTTAAGTTGGGACACAACAGACAGAATTCAAAACAACTGTTAAAGAAAATAAACACATATTTTAAAAACACTTTTTCTATTCCTTAATGTCCAGAACTGATTAGCACAAACTGTGCCAGCTAAATGGAAGTACGTCATGCTAAAGAGCTGAAAAGCAGCAGTGCCCAGCAAGAGGAACTCTAGCTGCCCAATACAAGGACGTTAGTTTTTCCATGTGGAGTCCTGCTTCATGTTAAAGACAAAGCAGGCAAAGTTGAACCCTGTTCAAAGAAAACTATTTTTAGAAGACAAAATGCATGCACGCACACGCACAGCCTTGCTAGTTAAACTAAGTTATATTTATGCAGTCGTGAGTGTCCTACTAAGACAAATCCAGTCAAGAAAACAGTGTTATTCAGCTGTCAGTTTTTAACTTGAGTCATGCTACACAAACCTCAGCTTCTACCCAAATGCAATTCATCTGTCCATAAGCTCTCCAAAAATTTCTTCTTGAATAATTTTATGTTCCATTCTACATTCTCCCTTTTTTATTTTGGGATACACTTCAAAGACATTGAAGATACTAATGAAAGGCCAAATGCTACTGCAAGTAAGAAAAATAAATTTGGAAATAAATAAAATTAAAGTTCTTATTTCTTAGAATGACACCTTGTTACACTGAAAAAGTCCTCCTTGGAGGCTCTTGGAAAAAGAGTCCATCCGGGTGAATCAAAATGCAATACACCATTGTGCTGTCCATCTGTGATTAATGTAGGCTATAGAAATGCTTTCAGGGGTGTGGGGGGGCGGAAATCACAAAACAGCTTCAATCTTGAAGAACTCCTTAAATGTCATTAAATGTGATGTGGCTGTTCATTCAGTTTAAAGGTGCATCTTACTGACCAAATTTAAAAGGCCCTTTACAAAGTTTTCTGGCACAGAAACTTTACAAACAGCAAGGAAGGAAACAACATTCTCGCTCATCTTTGCTTCTTAGTGGACAATCATTTCTGCCCAACCCAAGTGCATACAGGAGCTGGGCAAAATTACATGGACTTGTGTAGGTTACTGGAAGTTGCAACTGGAGCTTAAACCCAGGAGCAGCAAAGGAAACACTCCAACACCAGGCACGATCTCAGTAACAGCGTGGGCCATGATTCACACTGGAAGCCAGTGATGAAAACAGGACCCAACAGCCCCGAGTGCTGAAAA